GGTCCGGATCCGGACCGGAGTCCGTAGTTTGAGGATGCCTGCTTTAAACTGTCAGCCCCGGACGCGGAGATTCTGAAGATGGACATTAGACATTTCTTTAATAAAAAAGACGGCAATTCTCAAGTGGTGGCTCACACAACAACCCCAGAGCCACCACCTGAGCCAGGTGAACAAGGTATGTACCTGTCAGTAAACTTACAAGTTATGCGAACATGTAAGCAAAGCATAAATTATAGCTACGTTGACGTTACTTTGAATCGCGCGGGTAAGCTAAACCGTTAGCAAGTAGCTATAGCTAGCCAGATATATTAAATAAACACTTTGTCATACAATCTAAATGTTGTGTTTTTTAGCGTTACTTGGTGATTTCAAAGAAAGCTCTCTGGGAAATGTTGACTTACTGTTCGACATGAAGCTAGAAGCTACCTTACATTACACAGTTGATCCTGATTCCGGAGTCCTGTCAGTTAAAGTGTTTCATAGTTAGCTTAGCTTAGCATCAACCTAGCACTGAAATATATGGATGTTATGTGACAGTATTTCTGAGGAAAAGTCAGCTGAAATGGTGGCATAGTTTCCATTGCTTTACGTGTCGACAGCATGTTTGAACGTATTTGCAGCAGTAAATGTGGCTGTCTGGCCACTGACGTTGCCATAACAACACCTGCATTTAAATGTGCAAGCTCTTTTTGAGACAGATTTTGCATGAAAATATAATTCTTCTGATTGATATTCCTATTGACAGCTAGTTTCTATGTGAACATTATGAGATGGACAGCCAGCTAACAAGCTTTTTATATAAATATTTCAGATCAAAGCCAATCCAGTGGGGCTCCTGAAAGGGAGCAAGGGACACTATGCTCCCAAATATGAAGCCTTGACCCGCATCTTAAAATTGATATGATCAAAAGATGATCTGCATTGTCGGAGGCCTTTTTTCCTCATTATCATGTCAAATTGTACAGCTTTCCTTAGTGTTGAATGCAGAAAGATGACTATATTAGAGTATTAAGTGAAAATGACTATATTAAAGTTTTAAGTAAATATATTAAGTGAATTACTCAAACTGCATTTGTATAGGAATGATTCTGTCCTATTGGCAGATAACTACTCTAACAGTGATATCTACAAGAGGTTTCCAATGTAAATGTAACTATTTTCAATTGGTTAGTATTACATTGTGTGACAGTGTGGTGACACTCATTTGAATGAAGACAAATGTGTGTATCTTGAAATTCATTTATTTGACAGAGCTGGAAACGGATTGACTTACATACTTGTTTGTGTTTACCTACAGTCATCACAGATGAGCCAAACAGAGTAGAGGATGAAGAAAGGAGAACAGGAGAAAGGACACACAAGAAGGAGATACAACAGACAAGAACAACAATGGAGACAACAATGAACAGGAACACCAGAACAGACAAGAGTCAATGAGTAACATGACTGATTTAGGGACTGCAGATACAGGGCCAAGGCAAGTGAGACACCACTGCTTTCCATCCAGCATGTTTGGCCAGCAAAAGAGATCATTTCAACCGCAGACAGCAAGTGATGAGGGATTATTATTTCCTCCTTCCATCCCTGTTTTCTGTTTAATCTGATTACTAACTACTTCTAATAATTTGACATAGTTTATGATTTAATTGGAAAATGAAGTGTGTTTAAATAATAAACCCGTTTCTGATTCTTTGATTTCTTTTTGACATATGGGTGTTGAGAGATGTATCCATATATCTTAATGTTGCTCTCAAAGTGCACAAGATTGATGCTTTTGACTTCAGTATTTAAAAAAAGTCTTCCTGGGGGAGCATGGCCCGGCCCCCCCAGAGGAGGTGAGTTCCCCCCAAAATAGCACTTTATCTCTGCCTATGTAACTCCGGTGTAGTGTCCCCTCGTCAACAGATCACTCAGAGCTAGGGCTGGGCGATTTGGCCTAAAAATAAAACCTCTATTTTTTCTAACTAATGGACGATTTTCGATTTAAACCTCGATTTTTTTCTGAAATGATATGGATCCTCCTGGATGTGGTGAGTTAAGTATGGCGAGTAAAAAGAAGAATAAAACAGATGGTTGGAGTAAAGATGCGAGGACTTGACATTTTATTTTGGGATCATCCACATTTCCAACAAAGGTTCACGGATGAAAAAAATGCCAATACTGAATCTGATGTTAGAAATGTTGACTGCATCTGGTTTCATTTCAATTTCAACATTTCTATTATTTCCAAATGCACCTGCATGGAAAGAAAACCTATTAAATATCACTGTCCAGAATAATTTGGGTTGCATATTTAGTTATGTGAGAAAAATATACATTATACACTTTTGTCAATCATTTCAACAAATCATATCTCAAAGAAAATTAAAAGAAAGTATAAAGCCTCATATATCTTTGAAAATGTAAAACTGTTTTATGAAATATGTTTTTGTTATGTTCCAATACAAAATATAAAGGCTATAGGTCATCAGTTAAACATTTAAAAAATAAAATATATATTGTTATATGTTTTTAATATAATAGTGAAATAGAAAAACATGTCCAAATAAATCAGGTTACAGGATGTTGATTTCAGGAAAGGTAATATTGGGGTTTGTTATAGCTTGCAGGAAGTTAACCATTAGAATAATTGCAATGCATGAATTCCAGGTTAGTCTTGCTGTTGGCATCAAACAAAAAAATCACTTCAGACTGGTTTCATCATTTAAAAATATCATCATGTTGAATGATACAAATACAACAAATAATGATAATAAAAAAATACCCTCAAACAAAATAACATCCCTTTAACTTTCTAGGAAGTTTTCTACAGGTTTTTCGCGAGGAAGACAAGCCTGTCTACTGCCTCTGGCTTGAGGCATGCTCTTTGGCATGTTACAATATTACCCCCCGTACTGAAAACCCTCTCCGAAGGGGCACTTGTGGCAGGAATGGAGAGATATTTCTTGGCCAGATAACTCAGTCTTGGGAAGTTAGCTTCATGTAGCTTCCACCACTGCATGTCTCTGTCGCAGGTGCTGGAATAAGTTGGTTGTGTTCCCATGTTTTGCAGCGATCGTCTTTCTACAGACCTTACACAGAACAGTTGTTTGTTCTATGTCTGACTGCTTGTACCCGAACCACTTCCATACAACTGAACTTACTGAAGTGGTACCTTTTTTAGGAATGAGTTCTTCTTCATCTGTGTTCGTGGACATTTTTATGCTACGTCTGTCGTAGTGATGTGTCGGTCGCGAACTATTTAAGTGAACGACGGGAGCCGGCTCTCGCCCGCGAACGAGCCGTTTTTTTTGCGGAGGGATCGGCATGAAGGCACATTATGCAATGTGCACATTATCCCGCTTATTACATGGCCAAATTCTCAGCAAAGTAACGACATGACTCCCCAATATTAATTGAAATGCTTTTATGGATTTAGAAAATGATTTTATTGATTTAAAAAATAGTTTTGTATTGATTTAAATTGACATGCATCCGCTAAGAAAAATAGTGCGTTGTTACTGTTTGAACTAACGTAGCAACGGCAGGAACTGCTTCGATAGTGTTTTTGAGGAGCTTTTTGATTACAGATCCAAAAAAAAATCGCGGTTTTTTCGGTTTAGCCATTTCACAAACCGTAGGAAAGTAAAAATGCGATTAATCGTGAAAACCGAAAAAATCGCCCAGCCCTACTCTGAGCTGGTGATTACTTTCCTGCATTTCAATGGACAGCATATAAAAAGGACACGTGAGCTGCATTGCTTAAGAGATCCTCTCATGCTATCTCTTTTACAAAATAACAACAAAACAAAACATCAGTGATCGTATAGTGGTAGTATATTTTTCACAAGCAATGTGAAACATTAAACTTATACAAACTGGTGTACAAAACTCACATACCTGCGTTGATCTCCTGGAGTGTCTCTACTCTTTCTTCTCCACATCTCTTTCCAACATCAGAGATTGCAAACATTTCAGAAACAGCTAGAGGTAGGGGACAAACAACTTGTTCGCTGGGCATGTCAAAAACCTCCCTGCTATGATCAAGACTTTAGGGAGCCTTTAGCCCCTCTAGCAAAGGGACTGGAAAGCAAGCTTTGAAAATGCAGTACCTTCTACATGCTGTCATGTTCCAGACACTGCTCTCAACCACTCAGGGCCTGCACACATACCTGCAGAAAGAAACAATTGACTTGGTGCAGGCAGTAGATTACAAAACAGCAGTTGAGAACACACTGAAAAGTTACCGAAGTAACGAGAAAGCACATGAGGTCTATGACAAGACCAAGGCCCTGTGCAATGATCTTGATATTCCCGAAACTGTGACGCAGAGGAAGAAGCGTAGAAACAAGGAAGACTTTGTAGTCAAGGCATCATGTGGAGCAATGTGAAACATTAAACATAAATAAACTGGTGTATAAAACTCGCATACCTGCATTTCAATGGACAGCATAAAAGGACTCTGAGCTGGGTTCTGGTGCTCAGATTAGCTATTGATGATCACGTTGATAAATCATATAAAACAAATAGCCAATCTCACAAAAAACATGTTGCTGTGACTGTGAGCATTAAACAATTAACATTAAACTAAACAAACACAACAGTACGTTATTGTCCTTATAAAATAAAAACATACATTTTGTCCACCGAGATAATACAGGCACCTTACCCTCAAGAGATCCTCACGTGCTATGAGAATCTCCCACAATGCATTGCCGTAACAAAGCTAATGCAGGCACACGTTTGTGACACCAGATGGCGCAATTGTGTATGTGCGTGTGGGGAGTCTTGCAGTAGAAAATTTGACTGTAGTGCCGCCACTGTGGGCTAAGCCCCGAATGTTTCCAGGTCCAGGCGACGCCCCTGGTTTAAACCTATGTTGGTCACTGAGTGGTTTATTTTAGCTTGAAAAAGTAGAGGAACTGGCAACTGAAACCAAAAGTCTGGCTCTTGAAACACACATAGTTCATCAATTCTACTTCGATTTTTATTTTAGGTTTTTCAAAATATCCCCCTGGGAGTCAGCTAAATACTGAAAAATAACAATGGACATTCAAACAGAAAAAGTATACCCTCTCTGGCAGAGTATTCGTCGTCCTCTATAACTCTTGCCAGTCCAAAGTCAGCGATTTTGCAGAGCAGACTCTCTGACACCAGGACATTGGCTGCTCTCAGGTCTCTGTGGATATATTTCTTATCCTCTATATACGCCATGCCCTCTGACAGATCACTGCGGTCAAACCTCCACCTTCAGCCACCTGAAGAAGACCACTCCCCCTGAAGATCCCCACAGAAAGCTGTGGCCAAACCTCCACCTACAGCCTCTATAAGGAAACCTGCACAGATGTTATCCTACTGCCATGTGGAGACCTGAGTGGAACAGCAAGGACCAGAGAAACACACGCAGATATAGTCCTTCAGTCAGTGCTTGAATTGGAATGAAAAAGGTGCCAGTACTCTAAAATCAGCAACTTTTTCAAGTCAATTTTATATATACAGCCCACAAACAAGAATTTGGCTACTATAATGCTGGTGGGTTTGTCTCTTTACTACTGTATATTTTAGAAAGGTTCACTGTACTTAACATTTTTTATGATAGGCAGCGGATATGGCTAAAGCTCAGTAAGGTCAATATTAACTGAAAATATAGCAATCAAAGTCTAGATCTTCTGCTGAAGACACATGAAGCAGAGACCTTTCAGGTGAGAGCCCCTCTGGTGGTGTTCAACATTAATGACAAGGAAACAAAGCTCTGGTCAGAAGCATTTTTTATAAAAAGCTTTAACAAAATTAAGTATTTCTGTACATTTTGAATGCAATCTAACTTTCCAACTCAGAAAACGAAAAAGTGCCAAAAGTCTTCTCACATGGCTGAGCTGCTTTGCAATATACTTCACCACTGAAGAATACAAATATGTATAAAGTAAACTATGATGCAATCTAACTTTCCAACTCAGAAAAATGATAAAGAGCATGAACAAAGAACATGTAAAAACAAATGCAAAATGTGCACAATCTAAAATGAGAAACTGTAACTGCAAGTAACAAAGTCTGAGCCATGGTAAAGAGTTACATTGAACACCAAGCTGATCAGATAACTCCCTGGTTGGTCTGAAGTCCTTCTATCTCCAGGATCTGTACAAATCGGCACATTATGCCAAAAGTCTTCTCACTGGGTGAGCTGCTTTGCAATATACTTCACATTGTTAGAAAAGGCTCCAGAAGGCCTTGGGGACATCAGTATCAGGGGCTGGAGCTGGACAGGCTCTTTCATCAGCACTTCTCCTTCCCTTTGCCAGCCAGGACCTCACATACTGTTCCGGATTGAACTGTCCTAGTGATGGTCCATTACATTTAATGAAAACCAGGCTGGACAGTCGGCTGACAGAGAGAGCATTCCTTTTTGCAGTAAGGATATCGTTCATGCAGCTGAATGCCCGCTCACACTCACTAGTGGAGACAGCGATGGTTCGGACTGCTTTCAGTAGAGGCTCCATGGCAGCAGGTGTACGGGATGCCCTGGTTTCCTTGTATTCGCGAAAGCCCTGAACAGTCTCTCTTCTGTCCACTTTCAGCACTTCGCACAAACGTAGCACCTCTACGTCCCCATACTGTACGTCTAACTCCTCTTCAGGCCAACTTCCAGGATGGATAACTTTCATGTCCTGGATTAGCTGATTGTCCCGGGCCTCCCGGCCATGTAATGGGATTTCTCTTGTGCTGACATGAGAGGAGGTTGTGGAAGTCATTCTGTGTCTCAGATTCTCTACCATACTGCGGAAAAACTGACCTGCATGAATCTGTACAAGCCTGCCATTCTCACGCAGGGCAACACCCTTGAAGGACTTCTCAGCTAGAGCTGTATGAACTGTAGTCATGTGTGGGCCAGGCATGGTGACCATGGATTCAAAAACTCGTATTTCTCGAGTTAAGAGCCTATCTGCTGTAGGCAGTGTCATCTCTCTTTTTTGGAGTTGCCGAGAGAGGTCGCTGAGCTCTGTGAGCGCATCGTACATCAGTCCCAGATTGCTGACAAACGTTGCAGATGTGAGCACATCATCCAGGCCCTTGTACTTTGCTCTGTCTCTGGAATCCCTGCTCGTGTCGTTTGCAGCATTTGTGAAGTGATCATGAAGCACTCGGTAGTTTTCCCAGACTGCTCTGACGCTCCTTTCACTTGAAGCCACCCAGCGGATGGACAAAACACGCCCTATCACCAGGAGACGCTGTCCGACTGCTTGCGCACACTGCGCTAACTGCCTCTGATTTTTGGGGGAGGCATGGAACAAGGAATAGAGTTTGTCAAAAAAGATCTGGAAATGATTGAGCCCTGAGACCTCCTTGACCACATCCCCAACTGCCAGCTCTAAATGATGATTGGAGCAGTGCCACACAAACAGGCTTGGGAATTTACTACACAACTGGGTAGCAACGCCTGTTCTCTTCCCTAGCATGACTGAAGCCCCATCACATGCAAAAGAAACGAAACACTGACCTAAAAAGTCCTCGTTAAAATCTCTTCCAAGACACTCCATTAACGCCTTTGTGATGTCATCAGCCGTTGTTCCATCCAACTCGATCAGCTCCCAAAAAAACGTTTCGGGCTCAGCATCAGCTAATGCTGAGCGTAGACACACAAACAAGCACCGTTTTACCACTAATAGTGGTAGATTCATCGACCAAAACACAGAGTTTTCTTTGGTTTTCTGTAATGTCTTTTGCCATTTTTTTCTTCAGCTCATGAGCTATGTGGTCGATGATTTCGCCACAGGTTTTATTGGAGTGCAAAACCCTGCCCACGTTCAGCCCATTCAGTTTCTGTACATTCAAATCAATTGGCATGTCTGTGAATGGCCGGCTATGTTTGCCAATTTGATATGCCGTTCGAAAAACTCTGATAGTGGTGTCTAATTCAGATTTATGCATAGACTGCACTTGATGTTGAATAGTTTCACATGAAGCAGATGTAAGGATGTCAGCAGCTTTTACATGGGCTTGTGATTCTTTATGTTCTTTGATTTTTTTTTCTCAGGCTAGCTTGTTGTTTGCCCTTGTCAACACCGAAATGAGACACTGCACACTCACCCCATTCAGTTGACAGTTTCAGTCCTTGTCCAGTGTGTATTCCCAAAGATTTGACATCTCTGCATATCCGACATCCTAGCTTCTTATCTTTAAGAAGGAGCCATGCATTGGTCTTGCAAAAATATTGCACCTGGTCCGTTGTCCAGCAGTCAGGTGCATCGCTTTGCCCGGTGTTGGTGGTGGCAGTTGCGCCAGCAGCAGCTAACGTTAGAGGCTCTGGAGGAGGCGGCGGAGCTAGTGCTAATGCTAATGCACTAGAACTTGGAGCAGGGGGATCAACCAAAGAAAGCTCCCCATCAGACACAATTTCCAACACAGGCACAGCATTCTCTGTATTTGAAGTTTCTTCCGGCGACAACCGCTGTCTTTTTGCACTTTTATTAATCCACGCTAACATTTTAGAAATGCTAATTTGTGACGTGACTTGCTTTCCTTCTCTCGGGGGCGTGCCTGCTCTGTTCTATCACTCTACATAGCCACCCACTGGGTGGGAGTTGCACTGCATAGACACAACACACGTGCATCTAGGTATGTAAATTGTAAAGCATTAAAACATGGTTTTACTAACAGTTTTCAGTATGTTGTTACTTCGGCATTATTATTATTATTATTATTATTATTATTTTGAAACGTGTATTACTATTAAATCACGGTCAAATAGGTTAATTTTGACATAGTCGTTTCCACCACAGTATTTACATGGAGAAGATAAGCCCCGCCCCCTCTCCAGCACGTTCTGTTTGAATGACAGGAGTAAACAGCTGACAGCCGCTGTGAAACTCCAGCGGTTAGAGCGATGAGAATGTCCGTTCGGCACCTCATGACGCATCTACTGAGTACCGGGCGGCTGTATATATATATATGGATGTATAATAAGAACGGCGGGAGAGTGTTGAGTACTGGCACGGTGCATGAGTACCGGAGTACCGCCAGCATGCCGGTACTGAGCAATAAGTGCCGGTACTCCATGGGTCAGAACCAGAAGTGCCGGTACTGCGTACCGGTGAGTACCGGCCCAATTCCAGCACTGCCTTCAGTTAATATGCAAACATATTTCTGTGTTATTAAAGCTGGCTCTCTGTTTACATTCTGTTCACTTGTTCTTCTTCTCACAGGTGTTTTCAAACGTTGTGAAAGACTGAGCTCACACTCCTCAACATGAACCTGACTGACTGTGATGATGCCTTCATGAAACGAGAGAGCTCCACTGTACGTACAGTATAGCAGTATGAGATTTCTTAACAACACTCTGAGTGTATTGGGATTTTTAATGGAAGTTCGGTGATAAATTATATTTGAATGCAACACCTTACACTTCCAGATCTACCAGGAGCTGCTTCAGGGCCCTGAGGACAACTCCTTTTACAACAGCTCTGTTCCAGAGATGCTTCCTCCTCCTCCACATCCTCCACCTTCACCACCCCTCCTGCTCATCGCCAGAACTAAGAGTGCCCCACCCCATCTCAGCAACCACCACCAGTTTCTCCTGCAGCCACCGCCTAAGAGGAAGAGACGTAAAGAAAAAAGGAAAGGTAAAGGCGAGGCAGCGGAAGACGGTGCCCCTCAACACAAAATCCCCCACATGGCGGTGGATCTGCAAGAAACGCCAGATGAGAAGCAAGGGGCCGAGTCATCCTCAGAAAAAGGGTCTCTAATGGACACCCAACAGAATGAACGAGAGAAAACAGACATCGAGGGGAACGGAGTGAGCCAAGACAACACACTTGAAATAACACCCACTACTGATGATGTTATGGAAATAATTGTCATAGACGCCAAGATGTGACATACAGGACAAACCTTGATGTCTGTTTACCTTCTTTAAGGACACAGGCTGCTTAGCCAATAATGTTATTGTTCCCATTCTGTGACCGGTCAATACTGGGTCACAGATGGTCTGTGTTGTGGGTACACTGGGACACTTCCTTCTCTGTATTTGTGGACTCCAAGGTGAAATCTTCGAGGTCATAGGTGTCCGAGGCAAGTAGCTCAGTGTTCCCACACTGTTTAGGCTATCTTCTCAAATATGTTGTTTACTCTCTGCGAAACCAGTTAGATGGGCTGGCAAGAGAGAGGCTCTCCAGAATTGACGTGGCAACTCTACCGTGAAGTCAGAACCTCTGACTCTTGGACTTGTGATGTGAATCCTCCGGCCGTTAACTCCAAATAAACCATCATGTGTTTGACATCAAAGCTACTGCTCTTCCCGTGTCTCCTTCCTGAGTCGGTGACTCCCACTGCATAGCTACACAGAAGTTTCCTCTACAAATTGGCGTTGTCGGCAGGATGCCAATAAATCTACAGGGCTGGTAAGTGTGATTTTCAAATCTACATTTGGACATTGCCTTACCAGAATCTGTGATTGACGGTATCCTAAAATTACCTGTGAAACTGATCGGCTGCGTTTCCTTTTGGTTAATGAACATTTGGGGATGATAAACCCAGGGAATCAGTGTCTGGGGACTCAGTCCTGGCTTATTTCCTCTGTGTATGCTGCTCGGGACGGAAGTGCCATACAGGCATACACAGCTCATGTTTAGAGATACCTTAAGGAAGGGGCATCAGTGAAGTGGAGCTTCTGTGTGAATTGAAAGCAATGTAAAAGATTTGTATTGGACAAATCGCCGGATTTTGGGGGTCTTAGTGGCTAAGCACAGCAGTTGAAAATAAGCAGCCAGAGATATTTGCTGCTATCACCTCTCTGTAAAAACACGGCTCCAGCTGCAGCCTTGCGTGTGTGTGTGTAAAAGAAACCTCACCGTGTGTGTGTGGGGCTGGAGCAGTGCAGGCTGAGAGGGAGAAAGTCACAGCTTATTGCCTATAGGTTTTAACTCACGGCACCGCCGTCCTTCAAACGGGACGGTCTAAAAGCACTCGTTGTTTAGGACCGCTTTTCTCATGGTTAGACGGGCCAGCGCGAAGTGCGTGCATCACCCGATGCGCTACGGCTCTCTGGAGCAGGTGGCGGTCAGGAGTGCATACATACAATTATAGGCTAATTGATCAGAGGTGTGTAGTGGCAAGCAAGCATAGGCAAACTGTGTTTCACCTTGAGGTGAACTCGATAGCAAGTGTATATAGGCTGGTCGTACGGACTACAGTCAACTGAGCTGTTGTTTGGAGAGAAAGGGCAGGGAAAAAGTCTGTGGGCTCCGATCGGGGGGGCACAGCGCCACTAGAAACAAATAGCCTAGTGGTTGTCGCAAGAGGATAAGCTAGTTATCGTTCTTGGACGGCTTTCAGGCACCGATAAATCACTTGTATGCAAGGGTGAGGCGTGAGAAGACGCCGCACTGGAGATAATTCCCCACCCCCTCTAAGATCTCTAAAATCCGGACTAAATTGAGCTGAAGAGCTTTGCTGTCGCGCTGGTGTTTATTAAGAGTTCATGTTTTGTTTGTCTGATTGTTTGTATGGGGGTCTATATTGGTTTGTCCCGCCGTCTTGTGTATGTTTTGTAACAATAATGAATCAGTCCATAGACAGGGTAAAATGAACTAAACTTTAATTATCTCACCAAAAGTAAATGACCTGAGAAAAATAAAAAGAGTGTTTTTATGTCCTGCCTCTGAGTGTGCAGGGGAAAATGTAAACAAGAAGCCCACTGTTCAGGGTGAGCGCTAGGTGTAAGAAGAAAATAAGATTATATTGCTTTAATAATCCATTCTTAAATGGTATTGCTGGTATGTTAAGATATCTTTGTGACCTTGTATAAACCCTATGCCCCGTCCTGCGCCCGAGACCCTCAGAGACTTGCCTGAGGAGATCAGGGTTGCAAAATCTGGTTTTAGGTCAATGTTGTATTATTTGTTTCATTTATTCTTAATCTATGTATTGTATAGTAATAATGAATAAAAACGTAATGTATTGAACACATTCCGAAACAAAGCAGATAAGCAGAACAAGACTCAGACATAATACTAATTGTTGTTGAAACCTTTTGCGCTGTTGCAGCAAAATGGAAACTGTGTTAATTATTCTGTTCCAACTGGCCACTGGAATCAGAGAATTAATATAAGTTGAAGTTCAATTACAGTTTTAAAAATAGTTTAACATTCTTTATTAAACTGCTCCAAATTATTTCTAGTATCAACCAATTGGTCTCTATAGACATTACTAAAATTAAAATAGTTGTTAAACTACTGACAAGTTTTCTGAAACCGAGCTTATGAACAATAGAGTAAAGGTTGCTGGTTAAGCCAGGATCAATATATTTGTTGAAGTTTTTATTGTGTGCATAATAAATGTGTTAAATTAATTGAGCAATTCTTTAAAAGTATAATGTTGCAATTTCTTTAAAATAAGTAATTACAGTTACAAAATAGGTGTTGTTTTCCAAGGGCCTCTCTTTCACAGGCACTTTGAATCATAACACTTCCAAGTCCTACAGAGATCAGTATCACTTTGTGTTGCAAGCCAAATCCAGGGGTTCTACTCGAGCCCAATTTTAAATACCATAAAGAAAAGTATTGAACCCAGCTCGAGCTAAATGTGAAATGTATTTAATTAATGTGCAAGTGTTTTGATTTATTTAAAATGTTCCAGTCTAGCTTCCTTCGAGTTTAGTGTAAACAACAGATTGGTTCTCATAACATTCTCACTGCTGTGCTGTCCCAAATGTTTTAAACCTTGGGCAGATAAGCACACACACACACACACACACACACACACACACACACACACACACACACACACACACACACACACACACACACACACACACACACACACACACACACACACACACACACACACACACACACACACACACACACACACTTTGGATGAGTAATCACTTCATCCAAATTGTAAATTGTTGCCTTCTTTAAAGTTATTAGTAAATTCAAGATTAATTATTCAATTAAATGTGGTACATAACATATAATAAACAAAATAACTTTGATTTGATCATTTTGTTCACAACATTAGACCTTGTCCTCTAATCTCTACTAGAATAAGATACGTGTGCATGTCTGGGTGTGGAACACTCCTGTAATGTACCTAATCTTGTTATCCTTTTCATTACAGAGCTGGGAAAATGGTGTATTGCTTAGATTCGGATCCGTGCAAAGTCCAATTTTGACTGACTTTAGTTCTAATGTTAATTTGATTTCAACCCATAAGTAATTATTTAGATTAACTCAACATTTCACATGATGATGGATTAGTGCTCCACATTTTTCCCACTAATTTGTTGTGCAATTAGGCCAATGGTAAAGAGAGACATTGATGACCTTGTGTCCCTTTTGTTGGTACGTGGTTCCATTCTGTCTATGGCCTTGGACGGCTTCACTAAGAATCACCCAGTTCTGACAGTCCGGCTGAGTGCAGTCACAGAGATGCTATGGCTGCTCTACATGAAATGACATTAATGGTCTGGTCTGAGAATGGACACCATTACCTGCTTCCAGAGACAATGCCGCTCCTCAAACTGAACAATACTGTCTCACGTGGGCCACTCCCCCCACCAAGCCATGAACTGAAAGCTTGAGATCTGCTTTGAACACCTGGAAGCCTCCCGGTCACACCAGCACCAACCCTTGGGTCAGTCAGATGGGACTAACGGCTTAACTTAGGGCATTTGGTTCAGAAATATGACTCTCGTTACCGCAGAGTGGGTTGTTTTTTTAAGGCTATTCATACTGCTATGCAGAGGATGCCTGTAGGTTGGCAAGCTGTTAAAAGCCCCTACTATTTTTTTAAAATAGGCCTAAATGTCAGGGGCCTCTTAATGTCTAGTTCTACATGTATTCACATTATATGGACAATGTTTCCACCTGGTGAAACTGAAGGCTGCACGGTACTCAGGCTACAATACGACCATTCTGTTCTGCTCTAACGATTCAATTGATAGATTCTACATCAAAACAATTAGCTTTTATTGTTTCCAATGATAACGTCATTTTAAGAGAAGGAATGCAAACCTGTTTTCAAATGTAAGGTTTTGAATGTGTTTGACATTTCTCAGTAATAACACCCTCAGACACCCACTATCATTCATGCTATGCCTTCAGTAGTGACTCAGATGTTAAGGGGGATGAAGCTTTTCCTCCCAAATCAGATATGCTTTGTTTTTTTAACAAAGGTATGCATTTCCTGCATAATATATGTTTCTCACAATTGTTTTTTTTGTAAGCTGCACACAGGTGATACTGAGTCTTCTCGATTAATAGATTACACCATGCTTAAATAGACTCCTAAGTTATTATTTCATATGAGACATATGTAAGAAAAGGGAGGGAAGAGTCAATTATATTGAGTAATTGATTTTATATTGGAACATTTATTTCTCAAACCTGTTTTATGGAAGAGGAAAATATTTCTGATAAACTAATATGTTATCAAACGGTAAATGGTGAATTAATATAACATTTAGAATCATTGAGAAGGGGTGATATCCGCAGGGACTAGCTCACCTTTAAATTACAATAACATTTCTCTACTTTGGACTGATGAGTTTATGATTCTTGCATGTTAAATGACTAACACAAACCTTACATTTATGCATGTGCATGTCTCAGGAAGGCTCCCAAATAATTCTGAGGGGCCTATCCTATTTTTGTATTTAAATGATAATGTGCTAATCCATTACCTTGAGTTGTCTGCACTCAGGAAAACATCCCTATCAAGTGTTAACCCAATAACTACAGTAGGACAGCTCTGAAGGCCAAGGGTCAGAGAGAGAGAGCTACGTGGGTCCACGCCAGCCACTGCAAGGTCCTAGTCACCAACAAAAGTAGATGACAACAAGTGATGTGTCCTAATCACCAACAGAAGTAGATGACAACAAGTGATGTGTCCTAATCACCAACAAAAGTAGATGACAACAAGTGATGTGTCCTAATCACCAACAGAAGTAGATGACAACAAGTGATGTGTCCTAATCACCAACTTGCACCACACTTGCACTACATACACCAAAACACACTACACACAAGGTATCACGAGCGAGTGCCAGCTGAGCGGTTCCATATGCTCTCTGGTTCCTCGTTTGTGTTACCGGTGTGCGGAGTCTGACTGTCCGTGTCACAAAATCGACCGAAGGAATACACACACACACCCCATGGAGCATTCCCACCTCGTGATGACGGCTCGCCTGGGACAACGCAACCGTGAGCAATACAACTGGCCTGGCCCAGTGATGTGGGGTTTAGCTCGCCACAAGATTACGTTTGGTTGTGCGGCGACAAGCTCTATCAAGTTCTGGCTCCCCTCTGGATAGGTACATGCACTCTAGTGGATTTGAATCCAGCAATCAGGCTTAACAACACTACTCTTTAATGTATTATCCATGCATAGAAAGACCTACAATGATGTTTCAAGTACTGGATTAATTTCAGTTTTGGCCCAAAACAAATATTTATAATATTTCATATAACAATTATGTAGCATATTTGATCCTCAAATTAGAGAAGTATAATTTAAAGAAATTGATATTCTCAACATTAGATAAACACAGAAGAATCCTTTCCAAGTACCATAAGTAGCTCAGGTAAGTATGGCTAATAGGAATACTTGATAGACTTAATTTGGTACAGATCAGTGGTAGCATTTACAAATGTAATAATTCAAGGTTTAAAAATGTTTAATCCTTCCTTTCCAGGTTTTTACAAAAGTCTTTGAATATTTGCCTAACTTTTCCTTTTCAGATTTTGAACAATGTACTTGACTAAAATGAATGTATTGATTTCACTAAGTGCCTTACTCTTGACTAAAGCGTATTTAAGTAAACGTAAAAGTAATCCTAAAATTGAGGACACTGCACTTTTGCAGATTACAGATTGATCAAATCACCAGTGTGAATTCTATACTCTAACTGTGAATTTGTAGCTGGATCTCTTACGATCCTGAGTTTTAAAAAGCTTTTGACTAGTGATTGCCTTGAAGTAAATCTTTAAAGCGGCAAGCTGGTTTTGATTTTATAGTTTGATGAATGAAATTAACTAATGGTAAATGATAAAAGATATTAGTTTAAAACAAATATTTAGCCATTGTGCACCTGTGTTTTATGTGTGTTCATTATTATGCTTTTGACAAAAGATGATCAAACACTGATGAGAGATGATTTTTTCTATTATGATTGGCTGTATCAATCATTGTGATTGAATGTTTCAATCTTATTCTACTTTGTGATGTAATTAATGTAAGGTGAGACCACACTCGAATCTGGAGACGCCTATTGAGTTAATTATTGACCAAATTATTATTAGACTAATGTTTTTAGGTTATCATAAATGATAAAAAGAGAGGACTGTTATGGAAATAATTGTCATAGACGCCAAGATGTGACATACAGGACAAACCTTGATGTCTGTTTACCTTCTTTAAGGACACAGGCTGCTTAGCCAATAATGTTATTGTTCCCATTCTGTGACCGGTCAATACTGGGTCACAGATGGTCTGTGTTGTGGGTACACTGGGACACTTCCTTCTCTGTATTTGTGGACTCCAAGGTGAAATCTTCGAGGTCATAGGTGTCCGAGGCAAGTAGCTCAGTGTTCCCACACTGTTTAGGCTATCTTCTCAAATATGTTGTTTACTCTCTGCGAAACCAGTTAGATGGGCTGGCAAGAGAGAGGCTCTCCAGAATTGACGTGGCAACTCTACCGTGAAGTCAGAACCTCTGACTCTTGGACTTGTGATGTGAATCCTCCGGCCGTTAACTCCAAATAAACCATCATGTGTTTGACATCAAAGCTACTGCTCTTCCCGTGTCTCCTTCCTGAGTCGGTGACTCCCACTGCATAGCTACACAGAAGTTTCCTCTACAGATGACAACGCAAAAACCAACACAAATGGTGGTGAAGAAAGCAGAACAAAAGATGGAGGAAGTGAAAAATTAAGCGAGAAATCGTCCAAGACTGAGCAGAAGAAGAACGCCGACTCAGGATCGCACCGTGCCGGGTTCGACGCCTTTATGACGGGATACATTTTTGCCCATTCATGTACCCTGAACAAGAAGAAAGGAGTGGAAGCTGTAGGGAAGGAGGAGGAAGAGGAGTCCTGGGTTCCTTCGTGTCTCAATAAGGTCTACCTCAGCGGTAAATCTGCTCCTCTCAACGTGGTTAAAAGCACCTTCTCCAAATCATCCAAGGCCCATGTGGCGAAGATGGAGATGGTTTGGGGAAAGAAAGTGTAGTGTCCACACTTGAACACAGTATTTAAGTGTTTATATTAGGGCTGCAACTAATTATTATTTTAATTAGTAATCTGCAGATTACTTTTACGATAAACTGTTTGTTCAATAAATTGTCCAAAAATAATAAAAAAGGAACAACCTCAAAAGACTCAAAGTCCAAGTGATTCAATGTTTTGTTGAGTCCAAACCTATGGTCCAAACCCAAAGATGTTGACTTTAATATAATATTTAACAGAGAAAAGCCAAGATCTAAAAACTGCATTTTCTGGCATTTTTTCCATGGATAATTACTTAAAGGATACATCAATAATCAAAGAAGTTGGTATTTTTTTCTCTGGATGCACCTATTGATTGGTCAATTACTAGTTACAACTCCAATGTACATGTGCAGGTTCAATATCAATAATTGTTTAGCCTGCCAACAGTTTGGCTCAACTATTTGATGGACAGTGCTGAACCCCAGAGGGATGGGTAGATCCCCTTCCTCTGTCACTATGAGGTTGACCATTTCTGTTTTTAGTGACACATTTTGACAATTATTGAATAGATTGGCTTGGAATTTGGTCCATGCCCCCCCCCCCTCCCCCTCAGGATGGATGGATTTAAAAGAGTAATCCCTAACTAGGGAACCAGGATTTTGTGTTGATTTTATTTGCCATGTTTTAAGAATGATGGAATAGGGGGTCAGTTTGCTTGTGGAACAACCTTTCAGTCTGGCAGTGTTGAAATGTAAGTCTGTTTCTCATGCTCTATACTGTTTTTATTTCTTTGTAAGACTTTTGTACATTTTTACCTACTATTAATAGTATTAAAGACGGTAATAAAGTGCAATTCAGTGGCAGCTGTTTTGATCAAGCCAGGTATTGTTTCTTAAGTTTCTCTGGAAAGAGCCAGATTCTTGATTTGCATTCATTCTTCATTTTAGATGTTTGTATAATTACCTTTTACAGGAGTTACCTTTTGAAAAAATAAATGTATGCTCTTTAAAAATGATCATTGTCTTTATTTCATTATTTACTTATACTGGTTTTATCTTGAAGGATGATTAAAACAAAATGCCATAATTTAATCCCTTGCTATAACCAGCACATCATTTTTGAATCGACTGTCCATGGAAGTAATAGTTAATATATCAGCAGTGTGGCACCAATTGTACCACACTCACAAGTTGACATCCCATTTTAAATACGTTTTTAAAACGTTTTTGTTTGTAGATACATTCATTTTTATTGTGAACTACAAGATTGATAATCATTTTATTTTTTAAATGTTTGCAAACTGACTACAGTGAAAGTTGGTGTATAGCTCCTTCACAGGATAAACCATTTGGTCTTTAGTAACTCAGCCTGTCCTCTGGCGCCACCCTCTGGACAACATTTTTCTTGTTTCTGTTTGTGTGATGGAGAAGGAATTACATTTGTTTGTTGTTACAAATACTTTCAGTTGAAACAGATTCCTGGTGACAACATTGTTTGGAAGTAGTTCGGCTTGAACACATCACTGAGGGTAAAGTATGTCACAGAACACAGGATTATTTAATAGAGGTGTTTTCATTGAATTCAATATCAAAGCAATCACGTGTATATAATGGGGTGCTAGGTGTTGACCGCTGTGGATCACACTGGTTGTGTTGTTCTTGTTGTCTCCTGTCCCACTTCAGGAAGGCCATACACCCAGGAAGAGCCCTGCCCTGTGATATCAAAAAAAGGCAATGTACAGAGATTAAATTAGTGTAAATCTTCACATGAAACTTTTGTCAAAAAAACAATCATGAAAGAGACAAACTCTGTCTTTAATGTTCTACTTAACAAAACACAGGTCCTTGTGTCCAGTTGCCACAGTATGGTTCACTCAGAGGAACATATAAACAAAGTCTAGTTTATATTTTACATGATGATTGCAATGAAATCACAGCACGTAAGCATTTATATATTTATAGTTAAACACGTTTTATATCAGACACTGGAAGCATTCAGATCTGTAAATTCATATGAAGACATGGACTTCATCTCAGGCTGATTGTACTTTACATTTGAGATCAGATGTTTCATTAGCTCAACTTGCTGTATTTGAGTAATGATCAGACCAACAACAACATCAACAGGTACGTAGGCCAACCACTAATAGTTCAATAACAAGTGTTTTCATAATTTCTTTCCATAGAGGTTTCGTCTTTAGGTTAAAGATAACGATAAACCATGTATTGATATTTGTCTCTGCTGCACATTGTGATTTATCTCTAAGCTAGCAAACTGAAAGCTGCGTGTTATACATTTCCAGTTTAATACCAGTTATATATCTACAGATTCAATATTTATGTTTACAAAATGGACGTAGAGGATTCCATGGTTGCTATGGTTTGACGCAGGACTAGCGTCAATATCGGATCAATATTTAAACCATAACAACCTGAAAACTACCTGAAGACGGTCACGAAAATATTTTCTCCGCTTTCACTCGACGATTCTGCCAAATTATCGCTTCTTCTCAAGTCTTTTTACATCCCGACAAGAGTCAGAGAACCCCTGAGAGTTATTACAGCGAGAAAACACACTTTAATTATGGAAAATGTAAGATTTCATAACGTTGAAAGTCCCCGTTGTTTCCAATGTGCTTTGCCGTCGACATTTTCAGAAACCTCACAGTTTACTGATGTTTATCAAATCATTTAGTCTCCTGTAACGATAAGTAGGCCTACCATTAAACAGTGTAACTATCAGATTAAGGTCAAGTATACTGTGACGACTCAATTAATACATCTTTGCATTAAAAACTACCAAAAATACACATGCATTCATCAAAACTAGGCTATATGACAATATTAACAAATAAATGTTGTATCTAATACAAATCATTTATATTAACTTTTTAGGCTATATCACCCAGCTTCAAGCTGAAATACATTCATATTGTAACTTTGAATCAAGCTAATTAAAGTCACTCACTTTAACTTAGCATTATTTCCATCATACTGTATACATGTGCAATATTATATGTTCAAACAATAAACAGACATATGCTTATTATATAACATTGTAATCACGTCACATATGTGTCACTAAAGCACAATATTAACTGACATGAGGGCCTAAAGGTGGCTCTTGTTTTGTTACCGGACCTGTCTCGTCTTGAGGAGGTTTTCAGACTTTGATTATGTTTCATGTTTCTTCATTTATGATTTTTATCCAACAACCACATCCATCTTTGGCAAGTTAATCTTCCAGCACATAAAACTATAACACATTTGATTTGTATACTACGACATGACAACATACTTGAAAAAGGTCCATCCTGCATGTACTTGTAGAGCCTCATCCTAACATGAGTGTGTGTTGTTGCAGGGTCGAGTGCCCGTCCTCCCGCAGGACAACCAGACAGGAAGGAGAGTCTCTGCCCGCCAGAGGAGGCCTGCAGTCTGCAGACAGTGTCCCTGCTGCAGGGACGACCAGGTGAGACATCTGATCCTCAACTCTGTTCCTTGAAATTGTACACAGTTTAATCCACAAGATTGTTTGACAGGTTTACAAAAAGGTAAACACATAGTGGAGTATATTGTCAATACTAAATAGTTTGAGAAGGTCCATTGTACAGGACTAATGCCCCAAATACTCACATTTCAAGTAATCCTCTGCATCTGATGTAGATGTTTCCTCTTGTAAAATGATAAAAGTATGTTGTTAAGTAAGAAGTTTACTAGAGTCTGACATCCTCTCGTGTTTTGCTGACCTTCTCCAGGTGCCACATACAAAGCGCCGGCGCCCTGCTGCTTCTGCAGACCTTCCCCAGAAAAGGAAGCAGACCTCCGCGGCTCTTCCTCCTAAACCTGCTGACCTGCCACCTGTCTCTAATGTGGCCTCCAGCCCCCGGACCTCCAATGCTCCCCTGCACCTCGAAGACCCTATTAGGATCCACAACCGCTCAGTCGAGGAGTACCAGCTCATCTACCATGAAGTTGTGGATAACATGCTGAGGTACGTTGCGTCACAAATGAGTCAGTTCATTTACAGAGTTTCCACTCTCTTAGAAATCTATCTCTCTATTTTCCTTCATCATAAAGATTTATTTTTGTGTTTCTCCTCTCAGGTTCCCGGACGGTCGCCTGCGTCCATATAGTTTGGGTCTGGGTCGTCGTATCAAGCAGAAGCTGTGGGAGCGACTGGACCGTCCGATGTTCACAGAGACAGTGGATGAAGACGGTCTGGTCCATGTGGACGTGTCCTACGGTGCTGGAGTCCAGCCTCCGCTCTACAACGTGGATGTTTCTGGTGAACCAGAGCCCGAATATCCACCAGCAAAAAGGGCAAAGCACTAAGACACACTCTCATAAGCTGACATGTCTAATAATACTGTGCTTTAAGTTTAGTTTAGTTTTTTTTAAAGTATGGCAGATAAGTTTAAGTTTATTAAGTGTAGAGATACGTTTTTAGTGCCAAGCATAAGTATTATGTGCTAAGTCTTTAGTTTTAAGTATTTAGTAATAAGTATAAGTCTAAAGTGTTAAGAGTAAGTGTTTAGTTTAAGTTTTTAGTTATAGTAATTTGTTTGAAGTATTTCATATTAAGTGTTACGTTGTTAGTGCCAAGCACAAGTATTAAGTGTCAAGTCTTTAATTTTAAGTATTTAGTAATAAGTATAAAGTGTTAAGAGTAAGTGTTTAGTTTAAGTTTTCTGTTTAAGTACTAAGTTGAAGTATTAAGTATTAAGTATTTAGTGTTAAGAGTAAGTATTTAGTAATAAGTTTAAGTATTTAGTATTAAGAATAAGTATTTAGTGTTAAGAGTTAGTATTTAGTTGAGTTAAGTTTACTTTCATTGATCTTAATGTATCTCACCACTGATGAATTGTCTTCCTCTGAATCAGTTCCTGCTCCTCTGTTAACAGTCTTCTTACTCCAGCTTCAGCCTCAACAGCAACAGTTATCACCTGCCAGAACACCTGCTCCACCCTCCAGCCTCCACCTGTTACTTCTACCAGACAAAACATCAGCCTTGAGCTGCAGCCTGTGAGATGACAGACTCCTCTCCACCTGCAGCCTCTGTCTCTCTGTTGCCTACATCCTCTACCAGCAGCTTCAGCATCAAACTGCTGCCTCACTCTTCACCTGCAGCCTCTGTCAGCAACCTGCAGCCATCTCCTCCAACTGCACATTCTGTTGAATAGCTGATGGCTGAACCTCCATCTACAGCCTTTGCCAGTGCCTATACCTCTCGAAGTGAACTGCTATCCGAGCCTCCACCCACAGCCTCTGTCAGCAACCTGCAGCTTCCGCCTCCACCTGCAGATTCCTACAGCCATCTGAAGACGACCACTGGGGGAGTGGTCGTCTTCAGATGAAGATCCCCACAGAAAGCTGTGGCCAAACCTCCACCTACAGCCTCTATAAGGAAACCTGCACAGATGTTATCCTACTGCCATGTGGAGACCTGAGTGGAACAGCAAGGACCAGAGAAACACACGTAGATATAGTCCTTCAGTTAATATGCAAACATATTTCTGTGTTATTAAAGCTGGCTCTCTGTTTACATTCAGTTCACTTGTTCTTCTTCTCACAGGTGTTTTCAAACGTTGTGAAAGACTGAGCTCACACTCCTCAACATGAACCTGACTGACTGTGATGATGCCTTCATGAAACGAGAGAGCTCCACTGTACGTACAGTATAGCAGTATGAGATTTCTTAACAACACTCTGAGTGTATTGGGATTTTTAATGGAAGTTCGGTGATGAATTATATTTGAATGCAACACCTTACACTTCCAGATCTACCAGGAGCTGCTTCAGGGCCCTGAGGACAACTCCTTTTACAACAGCTCTGTTCCAGAGATGCTTCCTCCTCCTCCACATCCTCCACCTTCACCACCCCTCCTGCTCATCGCCAGAACTAAGAGTGCCCCACCCCATCTCAGCAACCACCACCAGTTTCTCCTGCAGCCACCGCCTCCATATGTAGATTCTGACAGACACTGCTGACAGCCAAACCTCCTCCTACAGCTTCTGCCAGTGCACCTGCGTCTACACCTCTTGAAGCCAACTGCGGCTGAACCTCCACCCACAGCCTCTGTCAGCAACCTGAACCAGCACCTACACCTCTCGTACACTACTGCCATCCAAACCTCCACCTGTAACCTTTGCCAGCCGCCTGAAGACACCTCCTCCACCTGAAGATCCCCACAGAAAGCTGGGGTCAAACCTCCACCTTCCGCCTCTATAAGGAAACCTGCACAGATGTTATCCTACTGCTATGGTTGGATCTAAGTGGAACAGCAACGACCAGAGAAACACTGGTAAATATGATCTTTGAGTAAACATGGGAAAATATATCTGTATAAAAATAGCATGCCTGGGCTGGGCTTCTGTTTATATTCTGTGCACTTCTTCTTCTTCTCACAGGTGTTTCCATACGTTGTGTGAAAGACTGAGCACACACTCCTCAACATGAACCTGACTGATTGTGATGATGCCTTCATGAAACAGAAAGAGCTCCTCTTCCTCCCACTTGTACGTAGAGTATAGCAGTATGAGACATTAAGTCATGGGATTTTTGATGGAAGTTTGCTGATGAATGCTATTTTAATGCAACACCTTTTCTTTGTGTTTTCTCCAGGCCTTGTTGGACTTCCAGATCAAGAGATGCTTCCTCCTCCCTATCGTGCACGTTCACCACCCTTCCTGCTCATTGCCAGGACTAAAAATGCCCCTCCCCATCTCTGCAACCACCAGCACTTTCTACGCATGCCGATTCATTGAAGGCCAAAGATTGCAGAGACGCTCCACCCGAGACTTCAGTGCCTTACTTTTCCAACAACGCCCCCTAATACGACGTCCAATGTGCTCTTTTAAGCCTCTGCACTGTTTTACAATAAATGAACTATTGTCTGCAACCATCTGATCAGTAATTTGAGACCAGAATAATTTGTATAAAACAGATCCTAAGGATATGATTGTTTTTGTGTGTTTAAGTTGAAGTGTGTTCCTTTGTCATGGTATATTAATTATTAGTCGCCACTTATTTAGGGTTTATATTAATACATTAATAACATTAACACATTCACTTTCTAGTAATTCATCATGTCGGAATTTCTTGAGCCAAATGTACAAAGACATCTGACACAAAATGTAATTACTGCAATTACGGCTATTTCAGCCAATACAACATTTCCACAATCTCATCTGAAATATCAACAAGTATCATTGAAATGCGTATTAAATAAATAAAAAGCGTGTTGTTTCAATTTTCCAAAATAAAGTTTATTTTTCCTCTACATTTAAGGTGAATTCTAAATATGAACCAAATATACCAAGAGTCACAATATGTCAAAGCCAGACATTTAATTATATAATAGCCCACTATATATGTACAGTTGAAATAATACAGATAACATATTCACACCAATTAAACAATTAAACAAATGCTAAATAACTTCAATATGAAGTGGGGTTCAGAGATGATCAGGATATTCAAGAAACAGTTAACAAACAGAAAATGATTAAAGAATATTTTGTTAGAGATTGAAGAACATTGTTAGAGCAGCTTACGAAATAATAAGTCATGAAATGTGAAATTCAGTCATTTACACTATATAAAAGGAGAAATGATTGTGTGAAGTCAAACAGCTAATCGTAAATACAGCATGGCCCTTTTTCAATTGTTGCCACATTATATACACATCCAGTCTCTTTTAGGCAGCTTTTTGGACAGGAATAAAGACATTGTGTCCTAGCATTGCAAACTCTTATGTATAATGTCACCTATTTGTTCTGTCCCTTTCAAACATACATTGAATTTGAGATGGTCAGGTACTGGAATAGCACATACACTTTGAATAGTACAGTACGGTAAATCCAGGGAAATGTTCTTAACAGCAAATATATAAGAAACACATTGTAAACATGTATAGGAGCACATTTCAAGATTGTTAGGGCTTTAGACATTAGTCTGGTATATACAAAATATTACAACTATAACAACACATCCAAAGCAGCTCCAAATATAATTTCTGGCTGAAAGTGTCCCTCTCTATGGTTGTTGCTGGTATTGTCCCTCTGTGGCGGTGTAGAAGTCGTCCAGGACACTCTGCAGGTACTCGAAGGTGGGCCTGTCTTCAGGTTTGTGCTTCCAGCAGGACGTCATGATGGCGTAGAGCTCGTCAGGACAGCTGTCAGGCTGAGGCATCCTGTAGCCGCGCTGCACCGAGGAAATCACCTCTCCTTTGGTCATACCTGAGGAGAACACAGGCAGGCATGCAGGTGAGAATCTAGGATTGTTTAGAGCAGGGGTGTCCCAACTACGGCCCGGGGGCCAACTGCGGTCCGTTGTCCATTTTAAATTGGCCCTCAGCTAATTGTAAAAGCATAATGGAATATGGCCCACATCTGAAACTTGTGCTTTTCTTATATTGCACTTCTTAAATATATATGTATATGACACAGTAGTATTCGTGTGTTCATGTAACCAATTTTCAAATAAATTCAGTCAATTAAAGTTGAAAACATTTTCTAACAAATCTTAGTTGATAAAAAAACGCCCAATAACTTACTTACATATCAAGTTTCAAATATACCTTTCCTCTTTCCCCTTATTATAAGCAATCTGAGGCTTCTGTTTTAAGAGATGAGTTGTCAACACTTTTTGTAACTAAATAAATGAAACCCGATGGAAAGCTGTGATGTAGGCGTTTTTTTCTCTTTAAGCATTTCAATTATCAAGAATAATTTACCTACATTTGATTGATTTTGCTAACTTATAACTTAACTTATGAGGCAATAAACCTCACCTCTGGTGGGGGGCCCAACCCTTTATATGCTTTTCTGTATGTGGCCTTCAGTGAAAAAAGTTTGGACACCCCTGGTTTAGAGGGACAACACACATACTCTATATAGCCACGTAGTCATTAGCTTGAGTAAAGAATCACCAGTAGAGGACGGTAGATATTCAAAACACAATGACTCCAGTATTGTGGAAACCTCTTTTACTGTAGTCACCACGTTTGTCTTAGTCAAATTGTTCGTTATAAGTAAAGCTACGCAAGTTATTTAATGGTATTTTGTGCATTATTCAAAGATCATAACACTGTAGTTTAAAAAAAATTCAAATAATATAAGTAGTACAAATAGGCTACTTAGGTTTTTTTTTTTACCTGGGTAGGGGCATTTCCCGTATGTTATAATCTCATAGAGCAGAACTCCGAAGGACCAGATGTCTGACTTGATGGTGAAGGATCCGTAGTTGATGGCCTCTGGAGCCGTCCACTTGATGGGGAATTTGGCTCCTGAGCATGACATGGTAAAAAACATTAAATATGCCGTTCATTTAGTAAAACCAGCTGCTTGACATGATCATTGGCTCAGTGGCTTTTGTGCTACCATGAACATACTGTAGGAGAAAATCAAACTCTTCAAAACCATTGACCATTAATCCAGTAAGACAACTTTGGGAAGATTAAATTGTATCTTTTTAATCTTCCATAAACCAATCATTACTGAATTTTCTATGAAAATTGTTGTTACAAAATGCAAAACACATGAAGTTACACTATCAATGTGTGTAAAATCGTTTTTTGCAGATAAGTGCATAAGATGTCACTGAAATAAAAAAATATTTGAAATGCCAAATGATTTGCTCTCATCATAATTGCTTTTGCCATTAGTTGTTTACATCTGAAAATGTTTTAACCTTACTGCACTGATCAGCTTAGTGATAGACAGTCATAGCCTACTAGGCCAAGGAGTTGGTAGAGTATGGCCATAAAACTGCAAATCTATGCTAAAGGTCACAACTAATAAACGCCATTAATTCTGCTTACAGTAAAAGCCTGTGAATGGTGGCTCTAGTATGTTCAGGAAACTGACACTGAAAAACATTAAATATGCCGTTCATTTAGTATCTAAATTCAAATCAAATTCATCTGCTGAATGGAAAAAAACTCCATATTTCCACGTGTATGACCCATACTGCAATGGAATATGTAAATGAAGGTCAGAATAAAAACCTGCGTTTATTTGTAATGTTCCTATGAAGGGAGTTTCAGTGTTTCCTGGTTCCAGGTCAGTAATCATCAGGTTTATGATGACACATAGATACATTTTCACACACTAGACTGGTGTTAGTATGAAAGGAGAAAGAATGGTTTAAACCTATGTTGGTCACTGAGTGGTTTATTTTAGCTTGAAAAAGTAGAGGAACTGGCAACTGAAACCAAAAGTCTGGCTCTTGAAACACACATAGTTCATCAATTCTACTTCGATTTTTATTTTAGGTTTTTCAAAAGTATCCCCCTGGGAGTCAGCTAAATACTGAAAAATAACAATGGACATTCAAACAGAAAAAGTATACCCTCTCTGGCAGAGTATTCGTCGTCCTCTATAACTCTTGCCAGTCCAAAGTCAGCGATTTTGCAGAGCAGACTCTCTGACACCAGGACATTGGCTGCTCTCAGGTCTCTGTGGATATATTTCTTATCCTCTATATACGCCATGCCCTCTGAAATCTGCAACAGCACAAGAAAGATATGGTAAGCAACAATGTCAACATAAGAGAAAAGAGATAACAAATAATTTAAAAAAAATGGTCTAACGTGAAGTGCCCAATTCTATATACCATTTCAGACAAGTCTATGGGTGACACAGAAATTCAGTTCAAACTAGTGTTGATGGCAGTAGATTTAAAGATATTGTGTGAATTACTTCACAATGAACTGAATAAAGTGTCTTCAAACAGTTCCTTGAAATAATATAAAGTCATAACATGTGGATTTGACTCATCATTATTTTTGACATATTATCGACAAAGAGATTAATTAAAAAAAATATATACAGCTCAAGTTCAAACCCAAAGGTAGCAAATAATTGTTTTTACTAATGCTGAAAGCAGAAATCTGCAAACCAACATAGTTGTTCTTATCATACTTTATTTTATTTTTATCTTATCCATGCTTTACCAACTTAATCGAGTTAGCATTTAACCTTTAGTCGCACACTTACGTGTAGGAAAAACATTGTCAGCAAAGCTTCCCTTTGCGATTCTGTAATGATGTCATAATAATTTTCTGAAAGGTTCCATGTAAAAATTGCCAGATGTGATACAAATTCTGGCAACATTTTGTATTTATTTTAAGGAATTGCTCCATTTACATCAATGTAAATGTTCAACTATTATCAATTCATTAAACAAAACTTAATCGGTGAAGTGTCCGTTTTTTGCTTTTGGTTATGGTTCCTCCTTTCACTTCAACAATGGAAAAAGTTATGTTATGTCTGTTTCACAATCATGGCAGAGAGTGAGCATAGGAAAAAGCAGCATATTGCGGTCAGTGTGCAAATCACCTGCGCTGAGAAATCAATGAGCTTGGGCAACTGCAGTTTGCATCCTTCGTCACTCTTTAAGAAGTCTAGTAGGCTCCCTAAAAACAAGAGAGAATATTTACAATGTTAGTTTCTCGTGTGTCCATGCATGTGTATAGGCTACTTACATGTGTATCCTTGTTTGCATTTTTGTTAATATAAGGTTTCGGGTTTTTAGAAGTAATATAGAAAAAGGTTTTTTTTGCTAACCTGCAAACCTCCTCTGTGAAATACAACCATAGGTCAATGTGTGATCACATGACTTTTTATGTCACAATTCTAAACTGCTGACATTTTAACTTCTTATTACTGGATGATTAATCTCATGGATGATTAATTATTCCTACAAGCCGGCACAGAACTATGGACCACTGTGTCACCGTGAGATAAAGAGACATGTGCCAACACAGAGGAGTATAGCATGATAACATAAAACCACTACAAAGAGACACAAAAAGACTAGACAACAAAGAGACAAAAACAACAAAAACAAGTGATGCAAAAAAGCCATGAAAATAGGCACAACAAATAAGACATGCTAGCTGACCAAAAAACGGCCAAAGAAAAGTAAATCCTGGGAACCAAAAACAATTACAATGTGACCAAAAACAAATGCAGACTCAAAACAACTACTCAGAGACGCAGTAAGCCCCATACAGGGAGAGCCTTCCCCCCTACGGTCCATGCACATTCTACACGAGACTACCAACAGACTAAAAATTATAACAACATTACATCAAATAGATTTAGAAAAAATGACAGAGACTTGAAATGACTTAAAAATGACTCAACATGACTACAAAGAAACACAAAATGGCACAAAGGGGGAAAAAAAGAGACAAAATAATTACTGTAACGAACATAAGAGTAACAAAGGGACAAAATAATTACTGTAACGAACATAAGAGTAACAAAGGGACAACAAAATTACTGTAACGAACATAAGAGTAACAAAGGGACAAAATAATTACTGTAACGAACATAAGAGTAACAAAGGGACAAAAAAATGAGCACAAAGAGAAACAAAAAAGACGAGTACCGACCTGGTACCGACGTTGTTATCCAAGGAAATGTTATACAGCCTTTTCGCATTTCTGGTATACTTGCATGTCTCTGATCATCAATATGCTACATTTTAATTTCTTCATGTATGAAAATCTTCCATGTGTTAAAAATAAAGGTCATTTACCATTTGACATGTATTCTGTGATGATATAGATGGGTTGTATCTTAGTGACGACAGCGTAAAGCCGCACCAGCCTGTCGTGCTGCAGCGTCTTCATGACGTTGGCTTCATCCAAGAAGGCTTCCACTGTCATGGTGCCTGGCTTCAGCGTCTTCACCGCCACTGTTGTTAAGTTGTTGTAGTAAGCTGAATGTGCAAAAAGTGAAGGAAGAAGGAGATTTTATTTATACATAAATATATTTTTGTGGAAGTAATAAAACCAGCTGCTTGACATGATCATTGGCTCAGTGGCTTTTGTGCTACCATGAATAAGTGCATAAGATGTCACTGAAATAAAAAAATATTTGAAATGCCAAATGATTTGCTCTCATCATAATTGCTTTTGCCATTAGTTGTTTACATCTGAAAATGTTTTAACCTTACTGCACTGATCAGCTTAGTGATAGACAGTCATAGCCTACTAGGCCAAGGAGTTGGTAGAGTATGGCCATAAAACTGCAAATCTATGTTAAAGGTCACAACTAATAAACGCCATTTAATTCTGCTTACAGTAAAAGCCTGTGAATGGTGGCTCTAGTATGTTCAGGAAACTGACACTGATAGTGGTCACTTTAATCCTCTTCTGTCTTTGGTAAAACACTTTTAGTAACAACCTCTCCACTCTCTTCATACTATAAGCTCTAACGGTTAGTGTCTCTCAGTGTTTGAGCCATTTATAACATACTGTCAGAAAACCTGTTGCACTTGGTTTATCATATTAACTTTTTCTCATTCTGGTTATGAATGTAATCCAAACACACCACTCCAAAGCAACGGACATACATGGATGATTCAAATTGTCTTTAAAATGAGCCTTGAAAAAACGTGTTAATACTATAATTTGTAAATATTCAGTATTTTTTCACACTAATACCTAGAACAAGGCACCTACTTCCTGATCATTCCCCACCCACAGAGATAACACCTATATCAAACACATGTTGACCACAATGTATAAACTTCCCTCATGTTTCAAAAATGAGTTCAATTAAAGTTATGTATAAGTGCTAAAAACATCAAAACCTGTCTTTTGGCAAAAGTAAGTATCAGGCCACAGCAATATTTGTTCATACAGTTTGCAATGAATCTAGTCCCTCTCTACACACCCTTTTCTGATATTTGGATGTGTGTCTTCACCCCTTTCAACTCCTGATGCAAACCCCTTTAAACTTGAAAACATTTCCTAAGCAGATGATAACAAGCTGTTGGACATATGAAAATGACCACTCTTTACTTTACTACAGAGGCATGTATGGAAACATTTTTTAGCATATTTACTGCATATTTTTTCAGTGACCATGGGATGTGGGAAATGCCTAATGTCAAAGCACAGGAGAAATCCTTTATTCTCAGAGATGGTTGCTAATGTAGGTATTTTTCTAACCCTAACCCTAATGCTAACCCTAATGCTTAGCAATTGGAGTGGAATTTAGATAGGAGAAATACACTTGACTTTTAATTTTCCATAGCCATTAGTGTCTGTTTCAAACATACAGTATACGGTGTATAAACATATGAACGGGACTTTGACAGTTGGCTCCTTAGCCCCCTTCACTACTGGGCAGACTCTGGCTCGAAATGACGCCACCAGCACAAAATGGCAGCGGCTGTATCCAGGATATTTTGGCTTCATTTTTTGTATAGTGGGAAGAAGTGCAGACACGCTGTCTATCTATATAGTGTAAATAGTTCTAACCAAAAGAATGTAATGCACCTATTGGATAACAAAAGTAGGAAGTCGTTTTTGTTTTAATTAGGGGGAAATGAGACGGTTTACTTTTGTAGAACCCTTGTATATGTGTGTGTGTGCGACAAGAATGACATACTCACCCAACCAGACATCTCCAAACTGCCCCGCTCCTAGTTTCTTTACCATCCTAATAGAGTCTTTAGAAATCTCCCAGGCATCTTTATCCCACGGTTTCTGAGCTTTGGGTTTCACACATGCACGGTCCAGTTTACGACACAGGCCATCCGGTTTGTCTGGAAGGTGAACACACACACAGTCATGACAAAGGTATACTTGCATTACTGTTCAATTTTATGAATAAAACATTATTTTTAAAAACCTTTTCTTTAAGTGTTTATATCGAAATCAACCATTGGTACCAAAGATGGGGTTGGGTGAGTTTTTTGAATAAAAGATTTTAAGTGGATCCATTCCATAGATTTGGCTACTCACTACGGTAGTGTTTGATCAGTGCACCGATGTCACTGAAGGAGATTTTAGGAGAGATGTAGAAGCCGCCGTTATCCAGCATCCTAATCTTATAATGTTTGACTAATTCTGTCCTGTTGGCATCAAAGTCTCTGATGGACAATGAATAACTTCCTGTGAAAAAGTAAGCAAGTAAAAGAGTGAGTTACTAGAAATGGAGCAGGAGGAAATCAATATGTTGATACATTCCCATACCTTTTTGTGTTTCACTTTCCCTGATGAGATAAGAGCCTGGTTTGTTTGCAGGTGCCAACAGCTGCCTCTCTGCATCCTTTCTTGTGATGTCCTTGAAAAACCAGCTGCAAAAGAATATGAAAAAACACTGTTTTATTCAAGTGGACTCCACCCATTATACAAATCAAACCTTGGTTGGGTATATAGTTGGGTTTTACATTGCTTTTCTTTAGCTTTATAATAGGATGGTGATCAATTCCAACATCCTTTAAAAAAAGAAACTGTTATTGAGAAATAACTAAGGATTTGGTTTGAGCTTACTCTTCTGTTTCGATGGTGTCAGCTTGGGCAACATAATTGCACGGGATGAATCCTTCTTTGTTGGTGACCAATGACACTGCTTTCCACCACTCCCCGTGTCTATTGGAAATATCAATTTATTCAAGCATGTTTATCATTTGGTTTGATTGGTGTTTATACCTTCTGGACCTCTTTGTCATATAGGCCAATCTCTTGAGCCCTGGTTTTCCGTTAAATTGAAATGGGAGTTGTGGATAATATACTGGATAAGAACCTCATGCAAACCCACTTGAACAACTATAGGTGCGTTCACACTCGAGTACTTTTCCCCGTACTTTTTCCGTTTAGTTCCGTTAGTACCCCTTATGTCGCGTTCACACCAAAAAGAGTACTTAGTGCCAGGAACTTTTACCCCCATATTTAGTGCCTGCTGAGAGGTGGTACTCTCCTGGGGAAAAAAAAGTGCCTAGGTTCTGATTGGCTGTGCGAATTGCAAACCACGCCCCGTAAAACTCTGAAATGTTTTGTAGAGCCGCCATTTTATTATCCTTGCATTAGCATTATTAGCATTAGCATTCGCCCAGCGCACAAACGCAGAGAGCATAACTTATGGCAACACAAGAGAAAACATGGGAGCGGTGGAGATGAGGAGGTGTCGGCGTTCTGGCGATGTACTCGGAAGGCTTCAGTAGAAGCGGCTGGGAGTCCCAGCAGCTTCTACTGAAGCCAGTCCCCAACTCCGGGGACTTCCGGCCGGGGACTTCGGGCGGCAGTATACGCCGTGAAGTTGTTTGCAGCCTGCCAGTAAACCCAGAGCAGAAGAAGACGGAGTGACGTCAGCGGCTCATTTGCGTAATCTTCCCTCAGGGAACTTATTCCGGTGTGAACGCGATCGGCTCTTAGTTCCATAGGGGAACTAAGTGCTGGGAACTAAGTACGGCAAAGTACTTGGTGTGAACGCGGCATAATGTATTTAGTTTTCTCAACAAATCTGCATACTTCATTGTAATTATATGAAGCTAAAATTAACAGGACCAATGTTTATTTGATGGATGCACCACTATATCAAACTAACCCTAACCCTAACCATAATCCTAACCCTATGTCTTAAGCATTATTAGAAGAGTACTTCTTTTAAAATAGTTTGATACAAATTGAACTCTTGGATCTTCAGTAACATTTAAAGAATGCTCTGTGAGTTTGAACTCTTTCATGATGCAAGAATTTGCAATGGCATATTAGATCAGTGGGTCATTCAGGGTTTAGGAGATAACAGTGCCCATTTTGTAGCTTGGGTAAGCATTCATCTTTGGTCCCCAATTTTTTATAAATGTTCATAAATGATGAATAACATTACTTCATGTTGAATCAGTCTACCATCAAAATCAGACACTCACTCCTCCAAGATTTTCATATTTTCTCCTTTCTTGAATCCTAAATCGTCGGGATGCACAGCTTCATACGGGAAAAGGCCGATCACAAGTTTACCAACCCCTTTGTTCTCTAAGAGAGGAAACATACATTTTTTTACATGTTGGACAACAAGATGGATAAGATATCAGAATGAAAGAGCTCTATACAAGCAACTTCACAACGTGACTTTAGATGTATTTATGACAATATATTTTCACAATAATGCATTAAAAAGAACAATCACAACCTTTAGTTGTATCTCACACAGGTTCCACCCTCTACTGGACTCTATGGGTACTACTCTCATCAATGATACGCGAGCGTTCACACACTGAAGTTGTATAAACGTAGCCGGCCAACCTTTATATATACAGTCTATGCGGCCAACCAGGGCGAGCCTACCTGAATGCGCGCAGGCACACAGTATATAATGCGGCCACGCCTCCTGACTGTCATCCTTTTCTCTTCAGCGAGCAGGACAACACCTGACAGAGAAAAGTAAAACGTTTGAAAGAAGAAGAAAGAAGTTATCATACCTTCATGGAGTTGCCTCTTCCAGAGACCCGGGCCTGTCCTTCGTGCCCTGGCTTAATAGAGGACTTCCATTAGGCGCACTGAACAGCTGTTTGTGTGCTTTGGGGATGGTGTGGCCGGTAAAGCTCTGTCCAAGAAACGCCTGACAGGATGGCTCTGCGAGTGCATTTCACATGCCTATGGACAGGCGGGGAGAGCCTTCACTGGGGTCCGTGCACACTCTACACGTGGTATGGCTGTATCAACAGCCTTGTTCAACTGTGTGAGTGTGGAGGGCATATGCACAGCTGCGTCTTGGTCTACGCCAGGCCCCTTCATAAGGTTTTATTTTGTCTGGCTCGTTTTCATCGTCTGTGCTTGCTGGGGCAACACAGGACTGGTGGTGGGGGGGGGGGGGGGGCTGTGGGTCAGTAGGTATCTGACCCCCCCTGGACATAATGCGCTTGTGTTTTCCCATGCTCCTTAAGGACCCGCGAAATATGGTGCGCAGTAAGCCCCATACAGGCAGAGCCTTCCCCCCTACGGTCCATGCACATTCTACACGAGGTAAGCGTGTGTGAGTGTGGGAGACATGGTGCACTTACGTTCTCCCCATGCTCCGTAGGGACCTGGGAAACGTAGTGTGCAGTGTTAGTCACTTGCGCTGGCACCTGCAGGGTGGAGCTATGGGCTTATTCAGACCAATTAGGCTCTACCCAGCTAAGTAAGCTGTGGCCCCAACTTCTCCACGGTCACAACCGGATGAGAGAAAGTTGGGGTGCGGTGGCTGTTAACCAAAGGCCGGTCAGGGGCAGTGTGATGGGTCGATGTTGCAGGCGACAGGGCGTTTATCCAATAGGGCTCCTCCCACTGTACCCATAGAGTCCAGTAGAGGGCGGTGCCTGTGTGAGATATAACGGGGGGTTACGCATTGTAACCCTAGTTATATAAGCACAGGCGGAGCCCTCTACCTAGGGGCCCTTTCTTTCCTATGCCGTTCGCTGAAGAGGGTGTAGGATGACTCTCAGGAGGCGTGGCCGCCTTATATACTGTGTAACTGCGCGCGCATTCAGGTAGGCTCGCCCTGGTTGGCCGGCTACGTTTATACAACTTCAGTGTGTGAACGCTCACGTATCATTGATGAGAGTAGTACCCATAGAGTCCAGTAGAGGGCTCCGCCTGTGCTTATATAGCTAGGGTTACAATCACAATACGTAACTCCCCGTTATTGTAAGCCAAGCTGATGACCCAATTATAACACATAGGTGATGTACGATTCGATAATAATTTATATTTACATCAAGTCTGACATTTTACTTGCATCACAGCAACTCCATTTGCAGCATCAAACAAGGACAAGTATTAAGACACGATACAAGGAAAACAAACATTTATCACAATTATTGAATAGAAACATGCTCAAAGACGCTTTAGCGGACATTTGACCTGGGATTAAGCTCTGTATTTAATGTGTCACAAACAGGTGCATTCAGGATCTGGCTATCATGATAAATGTTTAAATGCTTCCTTAAAAGTGGATCCTCCAGCAGTTATTTCTAAATGTATGACTATGCTAAGGAACTTTTGGTCAGTAGTGTGAGGCATTTATAATAATAATAATAATAATAATAATAATAATAATAATAATAATAATAATAATAATAATAATAATAATAATAATAATAATAATAATAATAATAATAATATTGGGTTTAATTTATAACGCACTTCATATCTGAGTGCTACAAGCATTTAGCATGAAACAAAAATAAAAACATTAAACAATACGGTAGAATGAATAAAAAGCATTAAAAAAATAAATAAAAGGGTAGCAATAAATAATATAAAAGGTCTAGGAATAGGCTCTATTTAATAGATGGGTTTTGAGGCCTTTTTTAACCTGTTAAGCCCCAAGCCTGTTTTTCAGGTCTCAGGCTCGAAAATGACATTCCCAGAACAAATGACCATATCTTCCCTTCTAAATGGGTTAAATTGATAATCTTTTTTATCAAAGCAAGGTTACACCAGTGAGTTGGATGTAGAAGTGTCAGAATCAATATAGATGTTTTTATTTTAAAGTAAATTCAGATTGCAAACAGTAAATAAATGTAAATGATTGTGTCCGTCCAAAAAAAAAAAATTACTTATAGTGAAAACCACCCTTGAATGATGGGATGGTAGACTAAACGCTTTAGGAATCCAAACTACAACATATAATAAGTACACTGTATCAAGATGGATGCAAAACAAGTTACATTTGACCTTTATAGAGAGATTTAGCAAAAAAAATACACTTCTGGGGTCATTTGGGTGGATTTGACCTATCTCTGGCCCCCCTTGCTCGATTTTGCTGATTGACATCTCTTTCTAACTGTCAGAGCCAATGGAATCGAGGGGAACTCCCACATACTCCTTATTTGGTAATGTGTGTGTGTGAGACTGACGCATAGCCAAAACCGGAAGCTGCGCTAACTCTGGTGGCTACCATTAGCAGCTAACTTTTACTCTCAGATTTTTACATAAAAATTGAATTATGGATTATAAATTAAAAAAAGTATTCCACAGAAACATTATCAACCTATGGATTAACCGATTCGAGTTCGGATCACTTAGTGGTGATACTATATCTAAATAATCTGTGGAACCTCAGCTTTAATCGGATATCTTGTGCAGCTACGATAAGTAATAAGGGTACTTTTATCTTGAGTTCTGTGCCAATGTCCATTTTTCGCTCAGGGGTCATTTAGATGCTTCTTATGAGACTTGTGTTTTGTTTTGGTAAAAATGGTTTGTATCGTCAATTAGCTGAGATTATTCCCGTTAATCTGGTATAACACATTAATAGGTTCTTAAATATTAAGAACCCCTGAGACACAGTGTTGTGAAGAAAAAAAAAAGTACCCGCCGAGGGGGACCTTGGGGAGAGCTTTCCACAGTCTGGGAGCAGCCGAGCAGAAAGCCCGGTCTCCCATAGCACGGAGCTTGGTCCTGGGGGGTTTGAGGAGGTTGGTTTTGCTGGTTTATTTTATGCTGTGACTATTAATCCCTCAAGTAATCTGATGCACCAGATATAGAAAGTTTGCTAGCCTCATTTATCGACTTGTTAGCAATTTCCTTTTTAATAAATAGAAGCTTCATTATTTACATTAAGGGTATTTAAGAACGTATTTGAAGTTGTACAACAAAACCAACATTTCTTGTGTTAACCACAAACCTAATCTCAGGCATCTAACTAAGATTCAAAAAACAAAAAAACAACTGTAGGTTTTAGGACTAGTTCGGGGGTTACCCATTATTGCACTATTTTGCAATAATGTGTAATAATTTGGCTAATTCAGACTGCTGAAGCCTCATATTAGTTTCAGCTTGTCTTGTAAACATTTTTTTCCCCAAAAGAATGATAACTTGTCAATTCTTTCAATTGAGATATGAGCATGTTTGTACTATACTGAGACTGGCTTTGACTCTGAACTCTTTAAAGGGGCCCTAATATGCTCATTTTAAGGTGTCATATTTGTGTTTTGTGCCTCTATCGTGACATGTTTACATGCTTTGGGTTCAAAAAGGTCTTTATTTTTATCATACTGCCTGTACCTCTTTTCACCCTCTGTCTGAAACCAGAGCCCAGTCTGCTATGATTGGTTAGCTGGTCGGCTCTGTTGTGATTGGTTTTAGGGATGCCCCGCCTCTTATTGCGTACAATATGTTGGAGCTATGTTACGGAAGTATGGGGAGGTGGGGGGTGATAGTGTGGGAACTTTGGGATTTTAGCCTTTGCAGACCATTTACAAGAACAAAAACCTATTTAAGACACTACAGGAAAGGGAAACTCCGAAAAAGCTTTATAGGGCCTCTTTAATGATACCACGTTGACATTTGCTAAGTTTTACTGAGTATTATGTTTAATGATTTATAGAAAAGGCAAAAACTTTCTGAAAATGTGTTTTTACATAATTTTACAAAAGAGAGTCACAAAGAAAAAATGAAACAAAAGAGAGAAGGAATGCGGCATACCTTCCATCTTTTGGAACACCTGACCAGGTAACAGGGAGTCCTGCAAATGCAGAGCAAAGAGTTGATCAGAAACAATGAAATTATAATATATATCTGGTCTATCAACGCTTGGTGAATACAGACTTTCACAAACTAGACTCAATCGTTTGCAATAGAGAAGTTCTGTTTATTAAGAAATATCTTAGTTATTATTTCTCTGAATCATTAGGAGGGGGTTTATCTGCCTTGAGTAATGCTCTCATGAGAACTGAATAATTCCCCTTTTATGACATTCTCCACTTACATTTTGAATTCACCAGGGCACATTGAAAAATATAATATAATATACATAATTGTTATGCTATGGTTGTTCTTTGATACTTTTCAGATTGTTATGCCAGAGAGAAATCAGTAGCCTATCTTATTTTCTAGAACTGAAATTCAGTTTTTACTCAGCCCAGATTTCGGACTACTTACTATGTTGTTTTTTGTTTTGGAGGTGGGGTCTCTGACATAGTGCGTGTTGTCGGTACGTACAGGCTGCTCGGCGATCTTCCTCTGTACACCTCCGTTTGGACTTTCGCTCAGCGTGGACTTCATACAGCCCATACTGCCTGCAGGAGGAAGTAAAAGGAAAAAAAGGAAGAGTGACTGTTACACATTAACAGCTGCTGAAACAAACAACACTTTAAATGTTTGCTACCAAACACCTGTGATTCCTTGGCTTTTGAATGTAAAAATAATAAAGAACCTAACCAGTGACTTGTTGATTTGTTCTTTTGCGTCATCATTTGGTGTTTAAACAAAGTCAAAGAGGAAATGGACACGGAAACTCTAAAGCAGCAGCAGCAGGTGTAGAAACACATTTTTCGACATGCTATCCTCAAATATGAATGAAATCGTCTTTATAGAACCATCAAACTGATAAAATCTCTGTCACAAGACTTTCCTATAATGCTGTATAAATCAGAATCATGATATTAAAGGAAAGCCCAAAATTACCTCCTGATCCAGAGGGGAAAACAATTGAAATTGAGAAGTTAATCTTTTGAGATTGAAACCAAGCAGAAACCAAAAGTGTTTGAGCTTGCCATTCCTCTTATATACATCAGGGGGAAACTCCAGTCATGGTTGTAAAATAATTGTGATTGTATAAAAGTCTATGAAACAATTACCCTACTTTTCACTTAATTTATTATCCCGGTAAATGTTTTTCTTCATGAGTTTATTGTCTCTATAGAGAGGCGAAGTCCCGCCCATCTACTTCCGACCCATGGGACCTTATTTCGGAAATATTATGGATTGAAGTCAATGGGGAGAGAAAGATTATCTTTCGGTCCTGTTTGAATTGTGCCACGAATTACACATATGTTTGTCAATCATAAAAAATAATTTCCATGTCAAAAAAGTTTGTCGTAAAACCGTTGAAATATAAGACTATGAAAAATACGCAACTAGAAAGACTACAAATCCCAGAATCCCGGTCCCACATGCTGGCTCTTACGGAACCGACTAACTCCCCTTTTGTGTATGTACAGCTCTCAACATGCCCAGACTTGTAGTGATTTTCACCTCTTTTAATACTTTTCGCCTCATTCTGAAAGAAAGAAGTGAAATGTGCCAACGTGACGGCCGTCTTGGTGTGTGGTGCGAGACGGGAGATGTAGTTAATTGAGCGGTTTCACACAAAAAAAAGTGTTACTTCACATTTTTACGACACATTTACATTTTTTTGACTTGCAAAATTATCTTTTAAATTCACAAACATCATAATTGTAATTCGTGGCACAATTCAAACGGGATCGAAAGATAATCTTTCTCTCGCCATTGACTTCAATACATAATTTTTCCGATATAAGGTCCCATGGAGGTCCACCGGAAAGGGAGGGACTTCGCCACTCTATCAATAGTTCAAGTCTTCTTCAACACAGTGTGATGTTTAATTTTTTTAGGGTGGGGATGTTTGTGTGTTTGTTTTAAAACTAACCCGTTTCAAAGTGTTTTTGACGACACAAAAGTAGATTTTTTACTTTTCAGTTGCCAGAAAATGTCTTGAACAGCATGTGGTTTTACATTGCTCTTTAAATTATTAAACATTTGTTTTATGTATTATAATTTGGGTTATTATGACTTTAGGCTATTTTCTCAAAGCTCAAAAGATCAGACACTCAGTACATAGCACCTACTCAACCAAACGACTAAATGACCACTAAAACTTTACCACTAAAATGCACAGCAAACGTTTCCTGTGTGAAAAAAGGCAGGTAGTTCAGAGAAGGTGTTGTAGATAACAAGTATATTAAAATGTAATGGTGTGTAGCTCTGAAATGTGAAATTACAGTTTATGACGTTCATACGTTATGTCTTCTAGCCACGCTGGCAGCATGATGATTGCAATGTCTGAGTTGGCAGTGGTGATAAGTGTGTGGACAGTTTCTCCGCAACCATTTTTTTTACGTTACATCAAAATGTCACTTGCTGTTTTATAGTTTGAAGGGAAGCAAACACCCAATGTGCTCGAGTGCAAAGTTATAAACTAATTTGTTGCGTGAAGGTGCAGCTCAGATTGCATTAATAACAATGTGGCTATGATGTTTATGATGCTCTCAAAAATGTAGTAAAACCACTTTCACATCCTCCAGATGCTTGTGTTTCTTTCTTTTTCATTGCTGTATAGCCTATAAAGTACATTTCGGACAGGATATATATGACAGATATAAGTTACACAACAATATACACATGAATGAAACAATTGATACATGATTATGTGCTGGAATTATGTTAGGTATGGGAAATGTGTATTGACTTATTGATATGGTGAATCACAGTTACAATGATATCATGGCCCAAGGGAATATGAAATATAAGAAACTACACTGAAAACATACAGGCTTTACAGCAGCAGAAGTTGGTCATATATAAACACCTGTTTTCTCAAAAGAGATAAACAACTGTCACTGCTTGTCTAGGAAACAGAAGTATGCCCTGTGGGCCACTCAGTGCTCTGTAAACAGAAGCAAATAACATCATTTATATGGGGACAATAGATCTTACGGTGATTGGCCCATCAGAAGATAATATAGGTCACATGTCAAATGTTAAGAGGAATCACCAATAAAAAAAGGAACAACCAAACATTGTTTACCTTCAATCGCTAGTCCTCCAAGACAGCTAAATTAAGATTTGATAGTAGGCCTACAACGTTGCTTTTCTGCCACACAATTGTTGGCCTAAATTGCTCATACAGGTTTGAGTAAAAGAATGCAAACAATAGCAAAGCATCTTAATTACATTCAGGTGTCAAGAGCTAGTGAGTAGCTACTCAAGAACTGGACTTGACTGAACGGACTACGACATCATTTTTTCAAGTGTAAGGACTGAAAAAGTTACGCCATGTTAGCACAAGCAACAAAAGCAATAACACAGCAATTGAGATGCCCCGAGTTGCTGTTGTGTGCTAGCAGTTATCGAACAAGAGCAAAAGCATATGATCAGTTATTAGGTTGCTAAAAAAAAAGTTGAGATCGCTGCTTGTCACGATAGTTTTGCGGAGATCAGTGTCTGACATGAGGTTGTGTTCTTTGGGAAAGCAGTGTGAGAACAATAGCCATGCTAGCTGATGGTGAAGCCTACTTGGGCAAAGCTTTTATTTGACCTTAACGTTAATTCTAGCAGGACAATATGCTTTCTCAGACCATGCAAACAATGTTTATGTCAGCAGCTACAGTATGGACGGTAAGATTAGTTTTTATGGGAACATGAATCTCTGTTGAGATATTTCAGTCCAAACCAAGTGGGCCGACAAACATTTTCAGCTATAAAAGAGAGGTAAAAAACGTAATGTACTTTTTAAAAAAAGCATTAAACCTCCTATAGAACTTTACCTTTGTCTACAACAAAAGTCTGTGCTGGAACCTAGATAAAGTTCTTAGCTCCTACAACTAAATAATAATGAAAAATGCAAACAAAAGGGTTTTATGTGACCTTCAGATGATGGTGAAGGACTGACCTTAATCTTTCTGTTTTATCAAGATTTCAAACACTATTGAAATCAAAAAAGGGACACACCTTAAAAAAAAGGAATTGGTGCACAGTACAATGTGTTGTTTAAAATTGAAGTTTATATAATCCAGATGACAGAAAAGTTGCTTATATCTATGAATAAAAGAACGTGTTGTTAAGAATGGCAGTTTGTTACTGGTTTCGTGGTTCAGTGCCTCTGATATATTTTTAACTTGACAGTCAGCAAACAGCAGGAAACCAAGGGTCTGGACCGATTAGGAGCATACACACACACACACACACACACACACACATACACACACACACACACACGCACGCACTGCTATGACCACGAACAAACTTCCTCCTTGGACTGAGCAAAGGGCTGGAGTGGAGGCAAAAATGAAAGGAAAGTATGGGACATAATCCACTGGAGAATTTGATGCAACTAAATGACAAATCCGATCACATGTACTGAGCTGTTCAAATATAGTTACACCAGTGATTTATACAACTTATAAAGTATTATTACCAAACAGCATTTACAGTATGATGACAAACAATACCTGTTGGTTCCTAAGTCTATGGTTGTGAAACAGTCCATGACTTTGAATAAAAACTCAACTATAACTTTTTTTTAAAACGATGTTTACTATAAAGTAACTTCAAACAATACGCATTTGAGTCAAGCCTACATTTATATACCTTTTTCCGTGATATAAACTCAATTACATCCTATCTTCTTTACTTTTCTGGGTGTGTATGAACAGCTCTTGCTGACCTGGCACAATTCTGACTGATGTCATTCACACCTCACATGCATGTGTGCTTACCTCTCTTAGTGTGTATTGTGGTTCACGAAACAGTTCATCCAATATGAAGAAGTCTTTTAGTCCTCAGATTTCTTCTCTGTGTTTTTCGTCACATTGACTGAAGGCTTGTGAAGTGTTTGGCTGTGCGTTCTGGGCGACACGGACTGTTACATTCACCCACCAGATTGAGGAACTTAGAGGAACTGGTGGGGGATTTCTTTCTTTCTGAAACTTCCTGGTACAATTGTCTAATGATTATTTGCATAATCAGCTACACACACTCCCTCACTCACTCACATTAAACACACACACTGGGGCACATTGATGGCCTTTAAATACAGAAAAATCACACTGGATAATGTTTAAGTAGAGAAGAATTTTACGATCATCATAAAATTAAACAAAGGTTAAGAGAATCCCTTTGACATTTTCACGTTAAAGATTTTTAATGGCATATCATATGTCCTAAGTTCCAATATACCAAATACTTTGAAATGTGTAAAAAATGGTTATGTACATGTATGTATGTTGTTATGTTGACCAAAGTTTGAGGGTCATGCATTAGTTTCTGTCGGTTTCAGAAATTCTCCTACAGTGCTACCTGTTGGCCAAATTGCAGAAGTACAACAAGATAATCCACTTTCCATTTTACTGCCATCAGTTTTTTATTTTGTTTTGTCACAGAGAGTAGAAAATATGGTTATAGACAGTCCAAGAAACACCTACACAGAATCATGCAACTGTTTTAACTACATGCTGAGTTATAAACAGTGTGGTTTAGGATATACAGCGTTGTGAAAGCGGGTGGGAGTCACTATAGTCACATGGCAGTTTACAACTTGAAAACCTGATTGAATAAGTAATATTTAAAAAAGAGTTATATTTGCTTTATGATCTTCAGCGTGAATAAGAACGAGACGCAGTCAAGCTGCAGTATTACAGTAAGATTATACTAGAAAATAACAAAGTACACAGTTTTAACAGTGCATGCATAATGGTCTTTACAAATGATGATTATGGGATGCATCCATTATTAGAAGCAGCAATGCAGCCTCAATGTCAGAGATAAAAACTTTCACACAAACATGTTATAACTGGAAGCTCCACTGAGTATTGCATATCTACATTTATCGAATAGTTTAATAGTTTGAGAAAAATGTATTCACTTTACTGCTGAGAGTAAGACAAGAAGATAGATACCTTTTTCATGTCTGAATGCTAAAAATGTAGCTCGAAAGATTTAGCTTAGGGTAGCGTAGCTACCTAGATTGACTAGTTTATCTAGAGTCGATTGTAGGGAGAAAACAAAACAACAAAAAGTGTCCCTAACACAGCAATGTTATATATAGTAGGTAACAGCTCAAAGGTCCGGACAAATTGACATATATTTTGATACCACAACTTTTAGCTTAGCTTAGCATGACAACTGGAAACAAGGGGAAACAGCTAGCCTGGATCAGTCTTAAGGTAACAACATATGCATACCAGCACCTCTTAAACTCACTAATAACATTCATGTATTCTGTAAACAATCTGTGGTGAAAAAACATGGCTAACTTCCTTGAGTCTCTGCTGGTAGCCCGGCAACTGGTTTTCACTTTCAAACCTCAGTTTTCGTACCAGTTATACAAACATGATATAATATGTTAGATAGTGAACTTTAGAGGGGCTGATAGTTATTGATCCTCTGGAGAAAGATAGGCTAGCTGTTTCTCTGTATCCACTATGTATCCTTAGCCAAGCTAACCTTCTGCTAAATGCAGCTACATATTTAGCATGTAGCCTACACAACCAGCATCAATCCGCTTATCTCATTTTCAGCAAGAAATAGAAAAGGCGTATTTCCCAAAATGTCAAACTTTAAGGTTTTGATTATAATGGCATCATTAAAAAAAGTAACCAAAAATATAAACATTTGAAAAGATAGTACATCATCATCATGTTCAACCACTGAGTCTGAATAAAACATGTCATCCATACTGTATTGACTGTAAATGTATATTAAGTATTGTTGTTTAACAGAACACTTTCACACCACCATCCATATTCTGCTTTCTACAGTAAAAAACAATTTCACATACAGGATATTACTGGATTTTGTCCCATCAAACACAATAGAATCAGTGAATATTTTTTCAACAGATAAAGTAAGCCCCAGTGTTTTTGTCCATGGTGTTTCCCAACTACTCCAACTAAGTAGTCCAATTCCCTCCACGGTATTGTCAATTTAGAGGAAGCACAGGCCATTAACTGGCAATATAATTTCTATCAGCATCACTACAAACATGCTACTCCCACTGTGACCCATTACATCAGCACGTCTCAGTGGTCTTACAAATTGCTTGCACAACTACACATAAGATCTCTGTCTATTTTCTCTTTTCGTTCCTATCCTCCAGCCTGCGTGTTTAGTAACTAAGACTGAAAGTAAAATCAGCTGTACATGAGCTACACATTTGTCTCTCTGCTCACTCCAACTCTGAAATACAGGCCTGCCAACAGTGTGTTATTGTAGTGCACAGCAGAGCCACAGGGACATGAGAGCACTGGGTGGTCACATCGCAGCACAGCGCCTCGAAGGAAGGATGAGGGGGTCAGTGCCCTGCTTTTAGGCACCTCAGCAGTGGTGCACTAGCCTCCAGCTACCAGCCCACTTTGAACAAAAGGCTTTGTCACAATGGCGGCTGGATTCCATCTGGCAGCTCTCTGTCCACTGGCAGCAGTGTGTGACAGGTTAGCTGTTCCTCTGCCCCAGCTCCCTGTGGGACGAGGACGAAGAGCTCTGGCTGTCCTCAGCATCGTCTCCATCTGCAGGAACATGGGGAAAGGGAGAACGATTTACGTAAATAATAATGTGATCATACATACAACGTCTTTCACATGTTTTAGGCCATAGTCCTGAGTCCTAATCATTCTTAATTTTCAGGAAAGAATTAGCAAAAACAGATTGTCTAAAGAAAGATCCCAGATAATTTTGCTATTATTTTTAGGGAATCCTGAACGTTGTGGCACTCATAAGTGGTACACAGCCACGAAAGATTGTTTTGGCAGATTTTTTAAAGGTTTAAACAAACTAAAAATAGGCCTTTTGAGTCCAGAAAAACAAGACGAGATGCTGGATTTTGGCTGGAAACAGGAAATTGAAAATGTTATAATAAACTCTATAAAATGGGAGCATAATCAATGTATGAATGGGACTAACAATGATGAAAAAGTATTGTTGCATCCTTGTCATTTGTGTGTTTTTGGCAGCGAAAATATATTGCCAGAAAATAAGAACAAAATAAAATCAATATCATTCAGTTTGGACTGAAATAAATAAGTGTAAAGACTGGGTTGAATGACCTTTACATTTTGAAAATCTTATTTGATTTGGGGTGAACAAAAGTTACTTTAAGCCTCTCAATGCAGTTCAGCTTTTCAATGATGCAAGACTTCATAATATGAAGCCATTAGTCAACAATAAAACATATAAAAAGAAACTCTTGAGCGAAGCAAAGGCTTCAAACCTGACAAAAAACGAATAACCCTTTACACCCACACACATATCCCCTCCAGATTAAGGCTGTGGTTTACCTCCCCCTCCTGCGTTGATGTGCAGCTGGGACAGAGACAGGGTGAGGGGCAGTTCTCGCCCATCAGGGTCGCTGGGACTCTGCAGAATGTCGTGCATGGCGTTCCTGCGTCCCGTCCTGCCAGAGGCGATGAAGTCAGCGTACGTGGCCTCAACATCAGACATCGCTCATGCATCGTTCACACAGCAACACCTACAGGAGGAGCAAATAATCATCAACATTTTCAACACACAGTTCTCCATACAGTTTCTTGAAAGACTCTACAATATAAAACATGAAATATCCATAATCCTCATGTTACATCTTACTCTACAGAGGGGAAGGAAGTATGTATATCTCTACTTAAGTTAAAGTAGCAATACCACACTGTAAACATGTCGTACAGAAAAAAGCCCTATGATTAAAGAACCAAAAGTAAAAGCAGACAACTCTTCATGCAAAAAAAAACATATTATTACTCACATTATAATATGGATGCCTTATTTGAGTACATCAATGTAATAGTACATGTTAAGAATAGTAGCCTTCTTAAGAAAAACAAGGCCTCCCTATTTACTTTAATGTAACCCCTGATGTAGACAAGCTAAGAATGCAGTTATATATCCACATTTCTAAGCCACTATTATAAACACTGAATTATTGTCCTAATGTGCTTTACATTAATTTTCACAGCTTTACATTTTGAAGTAGGCTATATCATGCTAACCAGGTAGCACGTCCATAGTTTGGCCCACAAGTCAAGAATCAACCAGATTCAGATATCTAAGTTAACCACAAGTCAAATGATATATCCATAATATATCATTAAGTAATTTTACCAGCCCAAGTCCCGTTTTGGAAATGTCTTACCTTAAGTGACAGCTCTACCAGTGCTGTAGCCACAAGCTACATTTATTGGGAGTGACTTCACCTAGAATAAGCACCACGACAGGCCCAACATCGCGTCAAACGACACTACAAAACAAACCAAACCAACGAAAAATGCTGGAAACAACCCAAGTCAAACAGGTAACAATCCCAACGCCACTACATAACGCGACGAGTCAACACATGGACATCATCTAACAATATGAATCACATCAGTAGGATGCTATGTAAAGTCCCCATTCTATTCTTCCTTGCCGTCGCATCTTCCTCCTTCTTGACTAATCAGAAACGAGGAACCTGCTTCTAGACGCTGATTGGACAGGAGACACAAAAGGATGAGAGGAGAGAGCTCTGAGCATGGCTCTGAGCAGCACCGAGGCTTATGCTGCATTCGGGATCACCTCGTAAATCTCATCTTCATGAATAAACATCCATTTATCAATCTATCTATGATTTTGAAAGCATATTTACACATATTTGTTCAAGAAGCAAATGTGTATCATATTTTCATTTTAATATTAGATTCGTTTTACAGACTGATGCAAATTAACATTTACTGAGAAAAAGAAAATAAAATCACATTAATTAGTTAATCAAGTGTTTATTTATATAAAAGTAATTGTAACTAAACAGATTATAATTATATTGGAAAAATGTGGACAAACCGGGACAAATGTTATAATAAAACTATATCTTGGATTGTAAACAAGATTATATGTTTGTATGTTATG